ACGGGAAAATTTACAGCGGTATGCGCAAGAAGGAGAGCTAGTATTAGGTAAAACGTCTTTCAGTTTCTGAGTAAATACTGGATAGATACTGAAGGATAGGGACAAATGTACGAAGTTAGACGCTGAAATAGGATATTCGTAGGAAAATAACTGCTTGCTCTCCACTAGTCCCAGTTCACGTTTCTGGGTATGTCAGCTTTTGAAAATTTCTCTGAAGGAATTTTCAAACAGGGTTGAATGTTCAGAATAAACCAGATGTTCTGTTATCAAACTGCATACACCTTTGCGTTCTCCCTTTGCTAACCATGCTGGATAATGTTCCCACGCGCGTTTCACAAGCGGACGCATGTTGCGGCCAATGTACTCAGCTCTACAAGTGCAAGTGAACTTGTATATGGATGTTAAAGTACACCCATGCGACAGATTGTCTTTCACGTTCTGAGTGAGTAGTTTCTTGTAGGAGAATATTATTCGTAGTCTGGCGACGAAGTTTGTTTCACTGAGGGACTTCGGAATTCGTCTACGGAGAATTTCTGTATCAGTATCACTCTTAAATTTGATGTTCAATATCAGCATTCTTTTGAGGACCACATGGACCTTTTCAGGTGCTTTCCTTGGTTTCAGAATCTCGTCTATGAATCTGGGTCAGAACCTTTTTTCTATCAAGATCCCTCAGAGAGTTTGTAATTCTTCATGGATTGACTCTTCAGTGCAAATCTTCTAGATTTTGGAGGAAAGAGGGTGAATTAGATTTCTCTTTGTGCTTAGAGACACACAGCTTTGAAAGGTACCGAAATGTCCGTTCAAAGTTTGCTTTTTACAGATGGATCTTCTTAGAGATATATCTGGATTGCTTCGTAATTGAAGGTCCTGTAAATGAAACATTGTGTTAGACTCAACTTCCAGCGTGAAGTGGATGTTTGGGTGGGCGTTATTGAAGATTTGAATTGGGTGTTTTAGATCACAATTCTCATCACAAGTAATAAAATTATGCTTGATGTATCTCTTGTAGGTATGGATGCCGTTGATAGTCGACGATGAGGAGTTGTTTTCTATGCTAGCCATAAAGTAGTCGCTCAGGAGGATTCCTAGAGAATAATTAATTGCTACTCTATCTACTTGCCTGAATATTTATTTCTACTTAGAGTATCCCTATTGACTTAAGGTTCTTTTTGTACGAAGTATTATGATCCTTAATAGAATAGGTCGTTTGCGCTAAGGAGCTTCCTACTCAGTCGATTTGCCAGCCTACTGTTCTAATCGCAATTAACAATGAATACGATACGATACAACACCGCATAACCGGTGACAGAATAAGACAAGAAGGTTTACCATTGATTTAGCAAAGTTTGAAGACAGTTGTATATATATATATATTTATGCTCTAAATAGACTTGAGGGACCCTAATTTTGTTGATAAGTTAAAACAGTCTACAACCAATAAGGTTCCGAGGACATAAGAAGGTAAGGGGAATACAAACAGCACTGTACAGTCAAGAGAACTGTAGTATTTTAGAAAAATTAATTCTATATAAGGGAACAGACTTTGGAGCAAATCGACCACGCTCTATATGCTAAGCGTCTGATAAATTTATTAAAAGCAAAAAAGGCATTTATATTGAAGATGGACACAAAAGGAAAACTTCAGAATGTTACATAACCACTCGTTTCAATCAATCAAAAGTATACAGTGATATGCATCAATGTTTGGTTTCTTGATCAACAATAATGAAATCAAGTAGATGCCACTTTATGACCTAAATAATTTCACTTTCAAAATCAAAATAATCTCATCTAATTATGTCAACTGTAGTGAATTGCTTAGCATGCCTTATTATTATTTTTTCGTTTAATTCCTAAAGGAACATAGGTCTTCAGCCGTGCGTCTCCACTGCGTTCGGTTCTCTGCTAGAATCTTCACCTGGCTCCATGTCTGCCCACACGCTTTCATCTCCTCTTCACATGACCTCCTACAAGTCACCCACCATCGCACTGATGACCAACTCGCCGCTTCCCTTTCGGGTTCCACTGGAGCAATGGCTTGTCTAGTGATGTCACTTGATGGTTGGTTTCCTCAGATTATGGCCAATCCATCTCCATTTCTTCCTGCCTATTTGTTTCACAATCGGTTCCTGCTGGGTTGGTTAGCTCATTGCCAGAGATTTCTGTTGCTGATCTTTCCTGGCCATCTGATCTTGAGTGTTGAGCGAAGACAACTGTTAATGAAGGTCTGTAGTTTGTTTGAGATGCTATTCATGACGCGCAGTACAAGTCTCTGATCCGTATAGTAGCACTGACTTCACATTGGAGTTGATAATCCGGATCTTATTTTTGATGGTGAGTACTGTTGACCTACAGACAGACTTGAGAGTAGTGAAAGCTTGTCTTGCTTTTCCGATTCTTCCTTTGATATCCTCGTCAGTTTCGTCCACCTGTAGTTAAAACGATGCTTCTCAGTTAGGTAGGTAAAAGAGGTTGTTTCTTTCAGGTTCCTTCCATTTATGCTGATCGTTGTCTGTTGCTGTTGTTGTTCTTGTCCAGCAGTCTTCATCACCTCTGTTTTCTCTGTGTTCACCTGAAGTGCTATCTTTGATGCTTATTCTGCCAACTTGTTGCTTTTCGCTTGCATACCTTCCAGTTTGCCTTAGTTTTTATTTTATTCTTCATATAGTTGACGAGAAAGTTTCAGTATTATTTACAATGTGCAGTATTCATTCAAAACATGTTCGTCATTGTGTGTTTGGTTGTAAATACACTTCATACATTTCACGAACTATACATCGTGTGAATACACCCAAAGAATGATTTGAGAGTAGTTACATGGAAATCACATCCCAGCTTTCTTCTTTTTGGAAGTTACTCACAAAGCAGGCTAATATCCCTTGATGCAAAACACGAAAACCATTCAACTTGAAGATTATTGTAAAGTGCTACCACATCAGTCTGCAGAAATGCATTTACCCTTCGAAATTTATTTCGGCGGAAAATCCTTTCTGTTACACATCGGTACTAGATGGTATCCTTCAATGCTCGACGAGTGACCACGACTATCGCGCATCGTGGAGTCACCGATTTCGTTCATTTACACCATTATTAATTACAAACAGACGAGTGCATTGTGAAACGAGTGAAGGGAAAGGAGATTCAAGGATAATAACATGCTTCAAATCGAACAGACGCATTATCATCGAACAAAGCATGGAATAGCAATCAAACCTCTACCTCAACTTTATAGACTTTGAGAAGGCCTTCGACAGCGTTGACCGCGAAGTAATTTGGAAGCTACTCGACTACTACAGGTGCCCTAAATATTCATCAACCTTATTCAATAGCTGTACGACAACGGCACATGTCAAGTGATGCACAATGGAAAACTCAGAGAAGCGTTTGGAGTAAACACAGGAGTCAGACAAGGGTGCTTATTATCAACAATGATATTCCTAATTGTGGTGGACTGGATTATGCGTCAGACAGTGGGAAACGAGAAGACAGGGATATCCTGGATCAACGTGAAGAACCTAGAAGACCAGGATTTTGCGCGTGGATGATTTATGTTTCATGTCGAAGACTTACAAGCAAAAACCCACAAACTCGTCGAAGAAGCAGCCAGAGAAGACAGGACTGTAGGTGAACATAGACAAGACGGAGGTTATGAAAATAACCAACCAACAACAACAACAGCAGCAGCAACATCCAGTGCCAATCATCATCAACAGAAGGGATTTGAAAGAGGTTACTTCATTCACTCACTTTTCTAGGGAGCATTGTCCCAACTACAGGAGGAACGGACGAGGATGTCAAATCGAGAATTGGGAAGGCGAGAAACACATTCATCAACCTGAAACCAATCTGGAAATCTTCGTCACTCTGCATCAACAACAAAATTCGGATTCAAAATAAAAACGTCAAATCAGTTCTTCTATACTGATGGATCAGAAACTTGGCGCGTCACAAAGAATATTTCCAACAGCCTGTTGCAGACCTTTATCAACAACTGTCTTCTTTCTATACTGAAGATCAGATGGCCGGAAAGAATCACCAACAAGAAACTATGGGAACAAACAAAACAAGAACCAATGGCCCAACAAATATGCAGGAGAAAGCTGAGATGGATTGGACACTCGCTGAGGAGGCCGCTGGGTGACATCGCGCGTCAGGCCATAGCTCGAGCGGAACCCGGAAGGGAAGTGGCGAGTGGGACGTCCAAGGGTGACATGGAGGAGATCGTGTGAAGAGGAATTGAAACAGTATTTATTCTGCAAAATCTGTAGTTGTTGCTTTGTTTAAATTCATTAAGGGGAACAAATGTATGAAACAGTATGGATTAACATGGATGCAAGTGAAAAGTACAGCACAAGACAGAAGCAAGTGGAGGCGTGCAGTTGAAGCCCTATGTTCCACTAGGACCCCAAGGGAACAATAATAATAATAAATCGAACAGAACTGTATCAAATGACACCAATTTACTGTTATTTCAAAAGTAACATTTGGATACTGCAAAGCTCTATACTGGATTACAAACATATAAGTGCCGAAGTCATATTTGGTGCGCTCAAGACACTTGATCACGTCGCTGAATAGCCTAACTGATGTGAAATAATATTTAATTACAGCGTTCAAATAGCAGTTCAAATTACATGTCACTTGTAGGTATGACTTGAAACTCATGACTTCATTGGTTCATCATACACCCAATGATTTATTTCGACTTCTATTTCCACGCAGAATCAATATATATATTCCGTTCATTTATACTCCATATATTTCCAATTAGAGACACTCGAGTGTGTCTTGTTTCAAATAAAATACTCACTTGCTCACTTATTCCACATGTGCTATTCGATGCATTAATCCAATAAGTCATTGGAATTTTCTATCTGCCAGTCATTTGCATTTTTTGCATTTTTCAATCAGAATTCATCCAATCAAACTGCAGATGTGTAGATGTGTAAATTTATTTAAGTAGTTTTGAAAACATCGTTTCACTCAGTTGATTATGTGTAAAATGCTACGTCTGTTATGTTTAATATTGATCACTATCATATCTTGTAACGTCGAAGGACAGCAGCGTAAGCACTTTTATGAATTTTTAGTCAATTTATCGCGTTTATGTAGTTTCCATGTATAGGAATGTTTCCTCTTAAGGTCTACCTTAGATATATATTGATATGAGTTCTTGAACAAAGTATCTGTAAGAATATCAGTGGTTTTGTCAATACGCATCTGCGGTGACCGACTTCTCAACGATGAAACAACATGCTTAGTGATTGAGAAGCTATACCTGAAGTCTTACCTGATGAAGGATAGTTACTTGGGGATAGTGAAAGAGTACATATTCAGGAAATGTGTAACCTATGCGAAACCACTGTCGTATAAATAGAATTAAATATGTATCTTATTTGTATTGTATCTATTTTATCATATTATGTTATTACTTATTCAAACTTTTAGGTATCAGTAAGTGCTGTTAACCTTGATATTTATAAAGAAAAGCAAAATATTACTAACATGACAAGTAGGTTATCACATTAGGTGTTTTGTATTATGATTGAAGCCTCGTATATTTGTAGACAGGGGTTTACAAGGAACTTAGTGAGAATAAATGTTCTTTTTCACTACGGATCCCGCTTATGAATGTTTCAAATGTAATGGGATGATAGAGGTAGAGGAATCTTGTGAATAATGGAGCATAGGCAACTCAGACTCCGTATCCACCGTTCCAAACGTCTTAGGGCTGACTACCAGCCCATTGTAACGTGAGAAGCATCTGTCACACCTCAGGTTACTTCGGTATGGCCCATTGATTGTTTGGAATTACAGGATGACAAATCTACAGTCTACTCATAGTTCTCATGCATTTATTCCCCTTGATGAATTTGAATAAAGCCAGACCAACAGTGTGGTTTGTGCAGAATAATATGGTACCATCACTTCTTTATTTATTTGGCTTCTCATCAGCTGCCCACAGCCTAAATAAATTAGGAGCTTTATGTGCAGAACAGTTTTAACATACTTGCAAATTTTCCATGATGTCATCTGATAGACAGTTCCACAATTAGTGAACAGTGCTCAGAAAATTGCATTAATATAGTTTTTGCACAGTGAGTTCAATAAATAAGCTCTTTGCTAAATAAGCTCTCTGTGACAAAAATTGAGTCCTGGGTCACTAATTGGCTGCATTCCTACTTCTCTAACAGAAAGCAGTATACCGTATACAAAGGTAAATCCTCCTCTGCTCTCACTAAAGCTGGTGTCCCTCAAGGTGCTGTACTCTCCCCACTTCTCTTTTCTTTCTTTCTACACAACGTACCATCTACAAATGACATCCATTTTGTCAAATATGCTGAACTCATGAACTCATGTGAAAAATGGACCAAATCCATTTTATCTAACTCACACCACCCTCTTCACTCACAACTCTCACCTTGTATCTCATCAGGCAATACCAGAAGCCTATATAGAAAACTATATGCTCGCACCAGCAAGTACAAAAACTCAACCATACCCTACTTAGCTCGTGTTCTGTGTGATAAAGAAAGCGTTAGGCGTGACACCTATAATTCATTAAATAGTCAGTAGTACAACTGGATCTCGTCTTTCCAACCCACATCATCAATAGGTACAACATTTTCTTTCTTTTCCTTTTCTCTCTTTTTTTCCGTTATGTGCTTCTTTGTTTCTTTCTCTGACTTACGCCAGTAAATATGACAGCTCCTACTTTTCTAACACCTTCAAACACTGTTCAGCTATACCTTTGCTACCGTAATGCCAATATGTTGTGGTCATAATGAACTGAGATTTCCTTAATCTATGTAGAATTCTATTTATTGATAATGTACTAACTGGATGCAATACTGTAGTAAAAAATGCTGAGAATTCCATTCTGTATCACAAGTACTGTTTTGGAATAAAGCAAATTATTATTATTATTTAAACAAAATAAATGTGTGCATGCAATGGTAAAGGAATTATGTAATAAAGACGAGAGATGCGTAAAACGCAGAGTGACTTATAAATTTGGTAATAATATACTTAGTTCAACTCAAACCATAGAAAGAAGAGATGAGCGAAATTACAAATAATAAAAGAGGGTGAGCTTAAAAAAAGATTACGTAATCAAATGCAAGAGAGGATAAAGACATCCAGTTACCAGGGCAAGGAAAGACTAATAACTGCTTCTTTCTGAACACATAAATCCGGTTTCAAGTGACTGATATGCATTGCTTCGGCAAACTTTAGGGGGGAATCGAGCTCCTTTGTCAGTTGATAATTTTAAAGGATTTCGCAACCTCCATCTCATGAACTGTATCGAGGAGATGACTGGCAACAGCGCTATTATAACAGTTTGTTTCCTTGAGACGTAGGCTTTTCTGCACATGTTCTGTTTACAGCTACGCAAATGATTCGGTATTTCGGAATGCCATGTATGTAACACCGATGAATGATGAAAACTAGATAAAGTTATATTCAGGTATATGTATACGGTAATATGCTGCTTACGAAATTAAAGTCGTCGTAAACTCCAAACTTTTAATTGATTATTTCAGTTGTTTTTGTACGTAAGTACTTAACCGTTACGTAGATAAACATTAGATGAACAAATTTATTTATACAAATTTTTATTGTATGATACGACGAGATAACCTAATGTTGTTTAAATCGACACATGTAATCTTAACCTGATGACACATGTCAATCTGCGATTGTAGGCAGTATCGTTTGATGAAACTTTATCATTATTACTGTTTCCTTTAATTCCTAAAGGAACATAGGATTTCACACGTGCGTCTCCATTCAGACCGGTTCTCTGCTAGAGTCTTCGCTTGGCTCCAAGTCTTCCCACACGTGTTCATCTCCTCTTCACATGACCTCCTCCAAGTCACCCTCATCCTGATGACCAGCTCGCCGCTTCCCTTTCGGGTTCCACTCGAGCGATGGCCTGTCTAGTGATGTCACTTGATGGTTGGTTTCCTCAGAGTATGGCCAGCCAATCCATCTCCATTTCCTCCTGCCTATTTGTTTCACAATCGGTTCCTGGTTGGTTCGCTCCTTGAGATATCTGTTGCTGATGAAATTTTGATCACCCTAAATTAACTTGATTACACTGTAAACAGCTTATCTCATGTGGTTGTACTCTAATGAATATTTTGACCAATATTCAGCCATTTTCGATTAAAATATCAGGGTAACTTACAGAGGTTCATTATTGTACCATTGATTGCTAACTCGTAAATAAAGTGACTGTATTTACATACATTGTTATGAACCAACTATTCAGCTCAAAGTGTTTCTTATATTTTGGTTCGCCAATCACCCAGCATTTATGAAAATTTCTTCCATGTCAAATGTGTTTACACATATGGCTATTGAACTTGACTGTGTAAGACAAAACAGGCATGTGACATTAGTCAGACAAAACTGTAAGGATTAAAGTGGCTAGTGGTAGGAACGTATTCACTTGCTCGCAAGTATATTAGACGTAAATTTCAACATTGAAATTCAACACAAGCAGATCACTTGTATCTGATACCACTTATCTTTACAATATATTGAGCTCTAATAAGTTATTTAAACCAGAAAATCTCTCCCCATTTCTTTTAATTACGTCACAGCAGCCCGGTTGCCAATTACTCAACCCAGGCCTGGTAAGTTCTGCACTTCTATAATTTATTAGTAAAAGTGTACAACAATTTATTAACTAAGAGGTTATTTCAAATGCATACTGAATATGCTGAATAGTATTCATGAGTTATTCAAGATGTAGTCACCAGAATTCCATCATAAAATGTATTCCTATGATCAGCTAGAAAGCGCTCGACCAATATTTGCAGTAAATTAATGCACGCATTTTTTTGGGGGCATCTCTTCAGCTGTTGGCAGTGATTAGTAAATTAAGAACACAAATTCTCTTCCTACTGATTGCAAACGAAGCACGAAAAATGAGGATGAATGCACTGTCATACTAAAAATATTACAACAGACGTGAAGAGAAATTAGTTACTTCTTTGTAATGACCTCACTTTGGTCTACTATTCACCTTCCAAGCAAAGGTCCCGTCAACTTGTGTCTGATCTGTCTCCATTTACTTATGTTTCCTGCGACTAAGATATTCATGAGACATCTCTGTTAAGTGAGAAGATTGCGACTCCTCATTTCATTGTTGTAATGTAAATTGTGGGTTGTGTGAAGTTGAATTGGAGTCTCAAAATAAAATTTGAGCATTTTTATCACTGAATCTCCTCTCTATGGTTTAGAAGGAATTACCCATTTCAGGGAATCAGTAGGGATCATATATACTCATAAACTTATGTAGTTTTATAGCATCTATTAAACGCATGTTTCAGAATTGAAACTTTACACAAATGCATGGATTCGAGTGGTAATATGTATTATTTCAGTCATATAATTCCAAGATGTGACTTACATTTTTTTATTGTCCATTTAGGAACAGGTGCAACAGAACCAGATAAGGATACCAGTGAGTTAGGAGAAGTCTTCATATTTTCTATACACTAAATAAATGAATTATGTAATGAAGGTATACACATTTGTTTATTCGCACAGTTATTTTACAACTTAGTTCTTATCTAATTGGTTGGAAATCTCGCTCGGAGACATTTTCACCAAAAAATTATTCACCAGTACTTATCACGTGAACACCTGTGGAATTGTCCCAAGTATTAGCAGTAACAATGAATTCTTATAAGGAATTTCTAAAGTTTGTGTGGCTGTCTACAAACTACACATTCCGAAGTAGACGGTCCTACATAATTTATGGATTATTTGAGTTCATTTAACCACCGCAACTAACCTACTGATGTACTCTTTGCAGATAAAATGACTAAATATTACTATTTGATGATGTGTTGGTAGGCATATAATCTCAGTATATTTCAATTTATCCACGTGAAAAGCTTCAGTGTAAGATGCTATTCAGCTAGTTATGCTGGCCTTGCTAGGTGTTATCTATCCCTAAGCATCATCGAAAATCTAACCTCATGGTTTTACATAGGACAAAATAGTTCCCCACACGGCTGTATTACAGACATCAAGCAAATTGTCAAACCAACTTCACAGTCGCCTACCTACAGAGTACGGGAAAATCTTATCAAAAGAGTATGAATCAGACTTCAACCGACCACAAATCTGTGTCACTCCACCTGTTAAATCTTGAAATCTGCATTCAGAGAACGTTTGTCTAGTCACTACAACCACAATGGACTTAATTTATCGTATTATTTGGTGTGAAATATTCTGACATTCAATTTTTTAACTTCACTTGCTACGATTACATTTCTGCTGCATACGACACCAATGTTAACTGGTCACCTATTCAACTTTATATGAGCTCCACTCAATCCTGTTAATTATGTTGTACCACTCAATTTACCAACTTAATGACTTTTCTATACGAATAGCGTTTCGCTAAGTGCTTAACTGACGTCTATGACCTACAATTTCAAAGATACATTTCCAAAGATATTTCTTTCGTTGGAGTGCAACTGTATGATATATATATATGTTACTGCAGTGATTGAAATAGACATCACTGAGAACGGCAGCTCTTCGCTGAACACGAATTCTACTCTATGACATCAAAAGGATTGCTGAGGTCCTTGAAATGACGTATGCTTATTTTGATGATATTAGATGGTTGGAGGCAAATGGCCACAGCAAGCCTTAGACCTAGGTTTCGTGTTAGTTGACACTCACAAGTCAACAAGGCGTGTCTGCAAATGGCTTGAAGGGACCCATTTCTCTTCTAAGATTTGAACCCAGTGCTGCAGTCAGTCAGAGACGCTACCACTGAGCTATTGAGGCTCGCAGTTGACCTCCAACCATATAATACCATCAAATCACTGTGCACTGGGATGGTGAGCTACCTTGAATGGTGGCCATATTGCAAACCTGACTGACAGAATTCAGTCTGCACCAAAGAAAGAACTAGGCACATCACACTAGTTACTAGTGTCCAATCAAAGTATACGCTTAATTTATCCTATGAGGAAGAATGCAGAACATCAGCATCATGTTCTAACGAAGTCAGTATATTTTCATGATTCTAAACCTTGAAATCATAAGACGCTAATTTCACCATTAAATTTCTACACCATGAAATCACGCATGCTTATGCCTTGATGTTTACCTTATAATCACTACAATTTATTATTTCAATCTTGTGCTCACTGCATTTGACCAAAATGTTTCAACTATCATTTACAAAAAGATGGAAAAACGACTGATCCGAACACGAGTGAGTTCAGAGTATCCATCATGCTTCATGTGTACTGTTTAACTGGACAATGAATTTTAGCATTACAGTCTTAATATGGTTGCAATCTCTGAAGCGAGTTCCTCAACCGAGAACCCTGATTGCATTTCTCGATAACATCTTGAACTCTGATTTGAATGTCCATTTGCAGCGTTGTTTTATAACGGAGTCTTAGAGAAAATGTTGTTGTATATTACTTAACAAGTTATTATATAACATCAGACTCCAGTTCCTCAGATATAACTGCATTTGCAGTTGAATTTACTGAATCTTCTGAGAAACGTCTTTACTAAAGTCCTTCAGGAGCTTAGCCCATTCTATCACAGGTTTCATACAGCACTTAATCGTAAGAGTCACATCAGGAATACTATTCTTTTAAACAAAATCCCACACTTGGTTTTCATAAATAACAGTGATACACTTACAGTATTTGATCAAGATGTTTTAATTATCATTTAGAAAAGGATGGACAGACACAAACTGTAGAAAAGAGTGAGTTTGTGTTACACATCATATTCCATGTGTTCTGCTTAAATTAGTGATACAATCAAGGTTTACATATTTGATTATTTGAATTGTTCTCACGTCATTGAATTCCTCTCAATCGCTTAGAATCTCACACCAAAACATGCTCTTTGTGGCATCTTCTGACGGTTTTCTGATTTGACGCTCTCTGACGAAAAGTGATTCAGCAGTGCTTATGAAGTTAATAGCTGTGGAATTTTCTTCAACAATAATAGATATACTTGAGTCAGATAAGAAGTCGATAATATGTTGAGCACACTTTCAAACGTTTTCTTCTGAGATGAGCTGTCCCAAATACTTTATGGTTTATCAAATGATTGAAATTCATTAACCTGTAATAGCGAATCTACTGAAGTAACTTTTGGATACACGTTTACCGAACAGTACTAATTGATGGCATTTTGTATGCGTTTGGTTCCACATATTTCCATGCACCCTCCTCCAGGATTCGCCTTTCGAATATCCATATACATCTCCATTGATATTTCTCTAAATCCTGGTCTATTAGAGCTATAAATTGTATTTCTATCCTGATTTAATCCAAGGAAACTTTAAGTGTGGTGCACCTGTTCATAAAACGAGGTCTTCGTTATTCAAATCACCTTTCAGAATTCGAGAATTGGACGCGCCAGTTCTATTCTCCTGATAATTGTTGAAGAAAAGGTGTTAAAGACTGTTGTAAAGATCATGTGTTTGTATAGTTTTATACTTCAAGAATATACGATGCAAGTTTCACCATTCAAATTATACACAAATGAGTCACATCTGATTATGCTTTTATGCCTGAAACACAAAAGGTGTATTTTGTTGATTAAGTCTAAAACTTGCCACATTTGTCCACTTTCTTATAAATAATATTTAGAAGACCAATCAACCAAACCGAATGCGAGTAGTGGTGAGTTATCTACTTCCATAACTAAACAGTAAGACTATGAAACAATACTATTTGGTTGATAATTTTATACGAAGTGACCAAGCTGAATATTATTCATGAGTACTTGACCGTGTAGAAGTCAGAATTCAGTCACAAACCGTGTTTTCTCGTGATTATTTTGGAAAAATGACAAGCAACACTTGTACACATTTTGTTTTGAGACCCCCCTCTTCAGCTTCTGACAACATGATAAATGCATAGTATTAGTGAGATATTAGCTTGAGGTGTTTAGATTTCTCACTGAGCAAAAACTATTCAACAAGATTGTTGGTTTAATTAGCAGAAATGATTGGAATATGACTGTATTCACCATCATCAAAAAAGGGCAGAGTGATACAATTTTTCTTCATTTTATCGAATCTACCGCCAGCAAGCGACTTACACTCAACATTTGAAAATGCAATGGAATAGTCACCAGTGTCATAACATACTGGTAACGACTCTTCACTTAATTTGCCTCAATGATCTTTACTCATTTATTTGATTTTTTATGTGCTTACTTGAATTTCACTATTATTCAATCTTCTTCCCCCGAGTTGTTGCATAAGATTATTTGCTTGAGTCATCACTTACTCTCTAAAATTTCTTAGACCATCAACCAAACTTATTACAATTGACTGAATAATCTTTGTGCCATGGAAGCGTCCATCAAGGCATCAGAGAGAAAAAATATAAACAGCTCAGTAGGCAGAAATGTGTGTTCTTATCAGTCAAACTATTATATGCCTACTTCAGATGAAGAGGAGCTTCAGAATACAATGTGCACATGTTTTGATTCAAACCTTGTTGCACCTGCTATAAAATGAACTTACTCTGTCTGGGAGAATCAGTGGAACTGACTTTTACTCAAATATTTTAGTTGTTGCACTCCACGAGAAAAACTAGACTCAAATTCCACTGTTGTAATAGTGCGCAAATCAGTTACGAATATTCATGCATTTTTGTTTACACCGCAAGTTGTGTAAGGTATTTTTTGATTGATCGTCATTATGGTAATTTGCGATGCTAGTGATATATTCAGCTTGAGATACTTGAGCACTGAAATTTCGGTAGTAGTGGTGTTTATTTTTTTACGAGGTGGGGCTGCAATTCTCACGCTCAACATTTCTGGCTTACTGGGTTAACAACAATATAGGCAAGGTAAGGGAGTGGGTCACTTTGTGATTTAAACCTCAACTACGGGCGTAGTCGTCGAGTATTCTACGGCTGAATCACAGAGGCAACCAGTGTAATGTGTTATTTCAACCTTCCATACCTTCCATAAACTCCCACTTATTCCTAAATGTCTTTCAGCCACCAATGCAGTGACAGTGTTAAAGACTCCTGGTGAGTTATCTGTTTGTATGCTTGAAGAATAAAAGTGTGAGAGTAGCATAAAACTAAGCAGGTGGTATGCAAGCTAAGAGAACACGCTGACCTTCATCGTATTCATACGGCATTCAGCATGTAGTCATCAGAATTAAATCTATTCAAGGAGTTAGTTAACGAGATTTTCGCCAATATTTCAATGGAATCATAAGTTAAAGAAGTACCCTAGAAAAATTTCAGATATTTCCATGAGAAGCTGAATGACGTGTCAATTGACTCAATTTTTTATGTAAGACTAATTTTATCTGCTTCAGGTCAAATGACATTTGCTACATTGTAATATCTTATGGTGTACCCATAAACACCATGTGAAGTGGATGGGACTACAAAATTTGTGAATTAATTTATTTTTGGACTTATTATAATGATAAGATCTAACCTACCGATGCACATTTTGGATACACTCATATACTAACTGAATATTCTCAGTTCTTCCTATCTGGTGGGCATAAAACATTTGCATGTTTTCTTGCATTCCTGTTTAATCATTTTGCTTTTATAATTTGCAAACGATGCAATTTGACTATTTCATAAAGACGTTTCGATCATCGTTTAGCAAAAGAAGATGGAAAAGTGGAAAAGGTTCCTGGTGAGTGATTTATTTGTATACCTGAATGGTGAGATGATGTGGAGACAACTAATATTCATTACGTAATTGCATATGCAGTGAACAAGACGAATATTTTATTCAAACGGTAATCACCACACACACAGACATTGGCATAAAAACTATTCACTCAATCAGTTAACGCGAATTTCGTCAAAGTATCAATGCAATGAAATTGGTACTGCTATTCGCCGCATTGTTTCCGCTATTGTATGTTACCTCATTAGGATATACACAGACAGTATTTGCCACATGATTACAATTGAAAGTACGCTGGAACATTCCTATTGGTATCTGAAAATGGATGGGTGAATTCTTATTCGACTTCATCTGTTATTCCTCAACTACTTTATTCTGCTCTACATCAGATGATGCATGACATAGTCACTGAGGATATTGATACGGGATTGAATTGAGAAACCCCTAGACTATGGTATTTTGTAGGTTTCCATGTCACACGTTCCACATCGTCTCAACGTCTATGAATAACGTGTCCTGAGTGGAAGCCAAGCTCTCAACTGATCACATTCAATGCATTCTCCCCCGCAGGTTCTAATTTGCTGAGAAATTTCCATTGGAATTACGTATTTCTATACGAAAAATATCTGTTACTAGTGAGTGTACATGTGTGCCTCGAGGCGTCTAGAAGTAGGAAAAAGTAAGTTGAAGCGTGATAAATATGTGGAAATCCAACGAATTATTAATCAAAGTCGTCGAAATACTAATGAATCAGTATTGTCGTAATCATAGACACCTTGTTATTTTTATTTAAAATTGATTATTTCATTATGCAGTAAAAGCTCCACCAGGTGAGTGATCGCTCTGTCGTGCATTTTCACTTTTTCCTTGTAAATATCAAACGCTTCATTAATTAGGGAGCCTAAACTTAGAAGTTACCATTTGACGTTCCAGGTTATCGGTTAATTGTGACTGCATGAAATACAGTGTGAAGACGAATGCATATTTATACGGTCGGTCGGTTTTCGACATAGAACTTTGCACATATGTGCGGCAGTTCAAGTCGCCACACTCCATGTAGCACACAAAGCCATAGAAGAGAGTAGGAGAAATGCATAATATAGACAGTAAACAGAAGTGTGAGACAAAGGTATAGTAATAACGAAGAACAAAACAGTCTCATTGGAAATCATTAGTCACAAGGAGTGGATGCATCTGCGTTAGCCATTGAGAACGATTTTGAGCCATGTCACCAATTGTTTCCAACCCTCATTAGTTTTTACCGTCCCGAGGACCTCAACCAGTCAGGAAGTCTACACCTTACTACGTGGCTTAGACTAACTGTTGTGGGTTTCATTGACCGGTGCCATGTTTTCGTTTGACCGCCGCTAGCTCTTTTCCAGCCTGACCCTATTTTAGCTAACATTGCCCGTCGAGGAAGGCGATGACTGGGCATACTTAGCACATGTCCTAACCATCTCAGTCGATGTAATTTCACAGTCTCGTCGATTGATTTCCCCGTCTTGCCTAGCACTCGACGCCTAACCTCAATATTGCTCACCTTATTATACCACTTCACGCGGGAGATAGAACGCAGACACCTATGATTGAATACAGCTAATCTTTTCATGTCCTCTGCTCTCAATGGCCAGGTCTCACAGCCATAAAGGAGGACGCCCTTTGGTCGATAGTCGGATATCACGTCTACGCCAGAGACGGCATATTTATACACCATAGAGACTGAGCTTCACACCTTTCGTGTTAACAAGCTTCATGATGACCAACTTCATACTTAAACAATCTACTGAATGAAGTACAATAATGGTAAGATAACTCATACAAGCCTTGTCAGTAACGGATGCCTTAAATGGTTAATAAGATAGTAGTGATGACCAAATTGCATTCCCCATAGGACGTTTACAATAATAATAATAATTTACTTTATTCCAAAAACTGTACTTGTGATACAGAATGGAATTTTCAGCATTAATCAGAATATTGCATCTAATTTCATCAAATTATAAATAAAAATTAATTACACAGAAAATTTTTCGACATTTACAATAGGGTTAATATCAATACAAAAAACATGCAGCACATAAAATGGAAATAATAATAATGATAGCAGCTAAGGTAATGATAATGAAACAAGTGGAAATTTCCGTGGGCTTGTTTCACACAGTATTGTCGATGCAGTATACAAATCCTTGCATGATTAAAAATTTTGAATATAATGTTCTCTTTACATATGTTGAGGGGGAAAACAAAGATTACAGCAGTCATAGAGATAATTTGGTGTTTGCAGTTATGAAATTGAAAAACAAAGAAGCAACAGGACCATACATATAATAGAAATAATAAAAGTAAAACTTGAAGGTATATAAGGATGGATGGAGGAAATTGTTTATTTACTAGATGAAAAAAGATTAGTTAATTCTTGTCTGACGCTATTCTTATCACAAAAAAAATGTGCCAAGTATGGTATCATAGAATTTTTATACTTAGACGTGCGAGCATACAGTTACTTCTTGTCCTAATTGAGGAGATGCAAGGTGAAAGCTGAAGGTGAAGTGGATGCTCCAAGTCAGACAAAATCCTTTTAGTGAATTTACTGCACGAAGTCAAATGCCTATCGACAACGCCGTTAACTATATAGTCCACTGGGACACCACTCACCTTACTGACAGTCTTTAGCATTCTATGACTTGTGACATAGTCCTTTTTAAGCAAACCAGGAAAGAATATGGGTGAAAAATAAGGAAGAATAGGTAGGATGTAAGAGTTTATGAACTGTGGGAGGAAGAGTTGAGTTATACCCGAGTAACAATGACGTTTTTAATTGTTAAACTGCCTGCTATGACATAAAAAAGATGTGGTAGTCGTTGATATATCTTTATCCACACTCTGATCATCTTTAAATTCACTAGATTCAAAGCTCAGACACTGAGTGTACATAGGATTCTCTGTGTGCACTTCACCTGAGCATATATTGCTCTTGATTGATAGTTGATGAAGTGGTATCCTTTTT